CGCGCCGCCTCAAGTGGTGTCTGCTTCTTTGCCCCAAGAATGAATGACGTCTGGTGTAGGGTTTAGGGTTTAGGGCTTAGGGTTTAGGGTTTGGGGTAGGGTTTAGGGTTTAGGGTTTAGGGTTTAGGGTTAAGGGTTTAGGGTTTAGGGTTTAGATCCGCCGACCCTGGCGGCGTGTTTGGATAGGTTTCTGGAGGTGAAAACCTCCCTTTTCCCTCCTTACCCCCCTAAAACACGGGGGGGGGGGGGTAGGGGGGGTACCCCGGCAGCTTTTCCGTGGAGGGCCAGGCCACCCACACCGCGTGTACTCATGGACCATAGGCGGTTTCGCACAGGGCATTGGAGGGGTTTTTGGGGAGAAAAAAAAAAAACCGCCCCCCCTTCCCCCCCCTCCCCCCCCCCCCCCCCCCCCCCTCCCCTGCCCCCCCTCAAATCCAGTAAAAACTGAACCTGCACCCTAAACCCCAAACCCGAAACCCTAAACCCTAAACCCTAAGCCCTCCCACCCTTAACCCTAAGCCTGTGGTCGTTGGGCTGTCCTCGGTTTAGGCTTTCGGGGTTTAGGGTTGCGGTTTCGGTTTAGGCTTTACTTTGGGGTTTAGGGTTCGGCTTTAGGGCTGAGGCGTTAGGGTTTAGGCTGTAGGGTTTAGGGTTTCGGCTGTAGGGTTTAGGGTGGGGTTTGGGTTTAGGGTTTGGCGCCGGGGCACGCTGCGCCGCTTGAGCCCTGAACAATGCTCCGGCGGGGTCGGCGGCTTGAGCCGGAGGCTCTTAAATTTTAGGGCTTAGGGTTACCCATTTTGCAAGTTAAAGCCTAAATCCCTAAACACCTTAACCACTCTCATTTCTCTCTCTCTCCCTCTCTCTCTCTCTCTCTCTCTCTCTCTCTCTCTTTCTCTCTCACTCTCTCTCTCCCTCTCTCTCAGGCATTCGAAGCGTCAAGCCTGCGAGGGATAGCGCTTTTCGCCAAACCACTAAGCCCTAAAACCCTCAAAGCCCCAAAGCCCTCAAAACCCTACAAGCCCTATGAGCCGTAAACCCTACAAGCCCTAAAACCCAAACAAGATCGAAGAACCCTAGAAGCCCTGTAAACCCTAAACAACCCGAAAAAAAAAAAACTAACCAACCTAAACACCCCTGAGAAACCCTAAGAACCCTATATAAACCCTGCCAAAACCCTACATAAGCACCAGATGAAGGCCCAAAACCCGCGAAAACCCCTCGAAAACAAAAAAAAACAACTCAACAAACAGAGAATGAATAAACCCTGTAAATTCCATACAGACAAAAAAAACAAATAATAATACAATAAAATACAAAAATAAATATATATATATATATGTACAAACTCAAATAAAGAA